CTTTTTAGGGCCCCCTTAAACGTCGGTAGATGAGGTTATGGGATCCTAACTCTACCCCATACCTAACCCTAAACCTAACCCGTCACCTACCTGACGTTAAAGGTAAAGCGTCCGTTGTATGACGGCCCGGGATCGCCATCTACCGACGTTTAAGGGGGCCCTAAAAAGGCGGATATTGACGTATGGTCAAAATACGTCCCAAAACGTCAGTTATATGACTTTTTGGGATGAGACTGTGTTAGTGTATACCATGTATTTATTGTATGACTGGCAGGACTCGTGCTGAATTACAGCTAAAGTTTCCCCTTGTGGTATTAGTGTACTGTACTTACACGGTAACTCCTCAGTAACTCTGCACTTGATAGAATGTGTTAAACAATCATAACTTACTGTGTATAATAAAAACAACCAAACCTCTGTACAACTCTGTGTTAACAGTGTACTTACATGGTAACTCCTCAGAAAGTGTCTACTTAACATAAAGTGTAAAAGGGCCATAACTTACTGTGTATAGTAAAAACACCAAAACTCTGTACACTGTATTAAGTGTACTTACACGGTAACTCCTCAGGAAGTGTCTACTTAATATAAAGTGTAAAAGGGCCATAACTTACTGTGTATAATAAAAACAACCAAACCTTTGTACACCTCTGTATTAACAGTGTACTTACACGGTAACTCCTCAGGAAGTGTCTACTTAATATAAAGTGTAAAACGGCCATAACTTACAGTGTAATATACAAAACCCAAAGCTGTGGCAACACTCTATTAACAGTGTTACATGGTAACTCCTCAGTAACTCTGCACTTGATACAAAGTGTAAAACAGCCATAACTTACTGTGTATTATACAAAACCCAAACCTCTGTACAACACTGTATTAACAGTCTACTCACGTTGTAACTCCTCAGGAATGGTCCACTTGATGCAGTGTAAAACGGCTTCAACTTAACGAGTAATATAAAAAAAGACCCAAACCTCTGTGCAACACTGTATTAACAGTGTTACATGGTAACTCCTCAGTAACTCTGCACTTGATACAATGTGTGAAATGGCCACAACTTATGGAATCATCATGATTTCAATGGAGTTTCAGTGCCTATTGAAGACTGTGTGGAAGTGGAAGAACGTGCGTAAATACATTGTTGTTACAAAATGTAGTTACATAATGCCTGTTACAGATGTGTACTTACTATAGTGAAAAAAGTGTTGTTACTAATGTCCTGTTACACATTTGTACTTACCCATACCTTTCAGTGTGTTATTACATATGTGTAGTTACACACATATTACAGCTGTAAATACTATGTACCAATGTGTATTTACACTGTACTTAAATACTAAGTACATATCTAGTAACCATGTAAGTTCACAGGTATTAGGGCCACTTAATATAAAGTGGGACCCACATTGGTGGCTGTATCCTCAGATCTAAACCAGAGAGTTTGCTAGTTAAGATGGACGTAATGATTTGTGCATATTTCAAGAGATGGAGAGGTTTATTATCCTTGCATCTAATCCTTTGTTCTGCTAAGCAGAATCCTATATAATCCCCTACACAAATGGAGCAACTCTAATATCAGAAACTCAGCACATCACGGCCTCAGCACATGCCAGTCCTATTGAGAGCCATTAGATGAATGACTGCAAGAGGATACACTATTTGACATGTAATAAATGATCTTAACATAATAGTATTTCTGAGGGGATGCTTTTAAAACGGGCTGGCTGTTCTACTGTGAGCGATTATTTATGGATAGTGTGTTTTCTAGGCTTGATAGTGCATGTTTTCGTCTTCACCTTAAAATATGTTCAGGATTTTGTAAAATTGAAATCTGGAAATTGTGTGCAACGGAAATTAGCTTTGAGGTCATTGATATAATAATGTACACTAATACTGCACATGAACAGACCAAAATAGTGATGACTCATCTTGCAGGCTTGTTTTTTTTTTTGTTATTTTTTTATATCCAATAAAATGTTCTCTAGAAGGAGAATGTTCCCATCCCCTAAATTTAAAACACCATCTGTTTTGCAAAATCAGTAGGAAGTAGCTAGTGGTGGTTGGTCTGTCTTCAGTTGTGCTCTATTTCCTTTTCCAACCATAGAGTGAGTGCAAAATAAGTTTGAGTTGACTGTTTCTTTGTTATTTTTCACCATGGCACTAGTCAAGCATGATTTGATTGGGTCATGGCATTAACTCTTGGCTATAAAAAAATAAATAAATAAAAAAAACAAGCATTTTTCCTGTTTCAGTATTGGAAATAATGCTGGGTTTTGCATATTTCACGATTCGATTCAATACCGATATGCATGCCATAGGAAGCAACTCCAAACTATTAAATCCACTTGCTATTTATTTTTAGATATAATAGTACACAAATCAAACTAAATTACTAATTGCACATAAGGTAGGTTGTTTTTTTTAACATTTATTAGGTGGCTATGATAAAAAAAAAAACTTGTTTGTTTTCAGTTAAACATGCATTATATTACACATGGCTAACGGTAAAAAATATAAAGTATACTATATTTAGCAAAGTGCTCCAATATAGAGTTATTTTTCTAACTAACCAACAAGCTTTGGTGTTTGGACATTGAATGGCTTTTTTTTAAGGTAACATTATGTGATGACGTGGTTACAAAAGAAATGATTTGTTTCAATAAGTTGTACTGTATGTTTCAACGTACCTTCTGATGTTCATTCATGTTTATTTGGTGCCTTAACTAGTTAAAGAGCACCAAAACCACATTTACAACGTTTGAATTGTGTGATAAAATTGAGAATTTGATCGAAAGGAACAAAGCACAAAGCTAATTGCAATTTTTGGTTGGCGTGTGTTGTTCATGCAACTTAAAACGGCATAGACTAAAATATGCGTTTTGGGATTTAAGGAACAATTTTGATTTAAAATTACCATAAATTAAAATCCAACCAGCACTAATAGGAAATACGTCAACACAGAAACAACAAATTGCACTGGTTAAACGAATTCAGTTCTTTCTGTTTTTACTGAGAAAACAGAGAAAAGCTGGCAGTCTAACTAAGAAAGATATTACCCTATGGGGGGAAAACCAGAGTTTAGCGTACAAATGTCCCATGCCCTTGAGCTAATTTGACATTTTCTGGACAGATGTTGTTCTGAAATGTTCTCTGATATGCTTGCAGAATGTTGACTTGAGCATTCACCGCAAAAAATAAATAAATAGCCTGCGGTACTCCGCCATTAGCATTTCCACTTTGTGTATGTTATTTTTGGCTACACCTAGTGTGCACTTAACAGTTAAAGAAAGATTTATAAACGCCAAGGGGTGTCATTTTTATTGTGACTGGTAAAATTGGAGAAGCAGCAGCATGACCAATCAATTTTTCTCAGTAACAGCAGTTGTCAAATTAGATTTGTGTTGTTAGAGCTGATTACAAGCACTCCTCATACAGATCTATAATGCTTTGTGCTCCGGGCAGGATTGAGCAGGATGGAGAGGGAGGAGGCGTCGTTGGGGACGCGCTCACCTGGGGCGGCAGTGATCAACTCAAGAGAGGGGTTTTGATCGATGGTGCTGAGGGGCAGAAATGCGATAAGTTCCACTGATAATTCTCTCTGCACGGGGTCTCGAGCCCCATTCACACAGTGTGCTGTAAACAATGCTGCTCAGTAACAGATTTTACTCAAGGCAAAAAACAACAGACATACAGTGGTGCTTGAAAGTTTGTGAAAATATGAATAATTTTAACTAAATAAGAGGGAGCATACAAAATGTATGTTATTTTGTCTATTTAGCATTATCCTGAATAAAATATTTTTCATAGTTCATAAGACAAAAAAGCTGAATTTGTAAAAATGACCTTGTTCAAAGGTTTACGTAACCTTGATTATTATTACTGTGTGTCATGATGGTTGTTCTTGAGTCCCGATCATTTAAACTGGCAGGAAAATCCTCCAGGTCCTGCTAACTCTTGAGTTTCCCAGCACATTTTGCATATTTAAACCCTTTCCACCAGTGACTGGATGATTTTGAGATCCCACTTTCACACTGAGGACAATTGAGGGACACAACTATTAAAAAAAGGTTCAAGCATTCACTAATGCACCGGAAGAAACCACGATGTATTAAGGGATTTGATCTGAAGAACAAGGTAAATTTGACTTAATTTGTCTTCCATAAAACATGTAAGTATCTTCTGTTACTTCCGAAGGGCAGTACTAAATGGAAAAACTGATATTTAAACAAAATAAGAAAAAATTGGACCTCCTGTTCAAAAGTTTTCACCCCCTGCCTCTGATTGCATTGCGTTTCCTTCTTGAGCATCAGCCAATGTTTGAACCCTTTTTAATAGATAATTCAAGAACAACCATCACAACAAATAAAGGACAGTGCTAATTAAAAAAAATAACATGCATTTTGTTTTGTTAAAATTATTCCCATTTTCACAGATTCTGCAAGGGGTTCACAAACTTTCAACCACCACTTTACTTAATGAGTGATACCTACAATGTACGTTATTTCAGATGCAAATTAGTGGTAGATAAATATAAAGAAAAAATAATTCAATAATTTGCATAATGCCCGCCTACTGGATACTTTGACCCGCCCTCATGAAAAGCTGGCAATGTCGATGCTGTTTTTTGCTGCAAGAGCAAACAAAAATTGTATGGACTTTCAATAATGTCACCATTGTTGCTATTCATATAAAAATGTTTACAGCTGTGCATGAAGCCTTGGGAGCTGAAACATGATTATGGTGAAACACAAGTTCTAAGCAGATGACCAATCAGAGCAGACTGAGCTTTTTCTGAAAGGCTGGGCTTTATATAGACAAGACCTAACGCAGTGAGGGAAAAGAGCTGCTGCAGAAATGTACAGTATGAGAAAAATAATGTTTTAAACTTTAAAACATGTAAATGTATTCTAGCACACCCCAAAAATAACTTGTAAATGTGCATAACATGGGTTCTAGAGTTTACCCCAGACTGTGCATGTTGCAAGGTACGCACTCACCCAGTTTTGGCAAAGTTTGTCCAATAGGTCATGACAACAGCACTGAGCATGACGTCATTTTTGGAGAAGTTGCAGGGGAAGAGGTCGGTCGGGCCAATCATGGGTATACCGAAGACGTAGGGCACCTCGTCTCCGTGGGCGGCGTCGGACCAGGCGGGCTTCATCAGGCTCTGACAGTGGTGGTAGAAGGCGTAGAAGTAGGTGGGTGACCCGTACCGGGCGTGAAGATCTGCCGTCACCACTGAGGGCTCCACCCACTGATGATCAGTAAACAGCGCCACCAGAGTCTTGCGGCGCGTCTCAGGGTTGTCTCTGTCCGCCCAGTCCGTGTACATGAACTTAATGGTTTCTCGTAGAGTATCCTTTCCCTCTGGGTAACCATACAGACTGTCCACAAAGTCCGAGACAGAAAAGTCGAAATCGTTGCCCGAGACGCCGTCTTCAGAGTCCACAACGTTCTCCACAAAGCGCAGACCCTCACCCTGGTTGACACCCAGCATGATGTCATAGTTGAGAAACTCGCCCTGCTCCATCAGGATCTCAGGGTCATCGGGAATGACATCGCCGTCGATGACCGGGCCGAAGGCTACGTGGTATCTCGCCGGCTGGATGTCTTGTTCCACCAGTTCGCGAGCTGTCTTCTTTCTCAAGCAATCTACCATGTCCAAAGTGTCCAACACATTACATCCCACTTTCTCTGCCAGCAGCCTTGTGTACTTAACCGGCTGGTAGTTGACGGCCCAGCTGGACAACGCTGAGCCGCTCTGGATTATGGCACGATGAAACAGTCCTGCAGCAAGAGGAGAAAAAAATAATGCATTTTAGTCAAGGTTATACATCACGAATCAATGATTGGAAAGAAAGGAAATAACTTTTTATGGGTACTCTAAATAACATTAACTGAGAATCAAGGACAGAATAGTGTCATCATGGAAATATGTACATCAATATCTTAAAAATAAACCAAATTCCCTTTTTTGTGCTAGCTAACACTAAGGTTGCCTGCTAGCTCAGTGCTAACTGATTTCCTTGCTGAAAACCAGTCTAAGCTGGTTGGCTGGTCTTATAGTAACTGGACTCCCTGCTTGACCATTTGCAAAAATTGCCTAAAATCCAACTAAAAGCATCCAACAGTCCAACCTGACCAGACTGAGACCAACTAAGACCAGCCAACCAGCTTAAGCCAGTTTTAACTGTTTTTTTTTTTCAGTCTCCAAACCGGTATTTAAAGCTGCAGTCCAGCGTTTTTTTTTTCTCTTTGTCGCCATCTCTGTTCGAAATCTGCAATTGCAGTCATTTGCGGAATCATCAACTTTACGTAAATTGTACTTCAACACCCTCGACACGGCACAGCGCGGATGAACACAATGTTTGAGAAGAGAGTGTGAGGCTGTCAGTCACCGCGCCGGTGTGGATACTGGCATTCAGAATCACAGATTATTCTTTTTGGAAGGATGACCAACATAAGACTTTTCACCGGAAAATATCATCTGAACAAGTAAGTAACATCCACTTTTGTACTGGTTCTGACATTGCAGTAAATCGCACTGATTAAATCTACAGTGAGAAAAGACTATAAATCTCAACCTCCAGCATCCTCACACGCAATATAGCCTAGCCGAGACTCCTTCTTTGTGTGTACAGATGTGATGTAATGACGCAAAGACATGCTCGAATTGATAATGACTGGTTATTGATTTTCTCAAATATGTATTTTGGATAATTTCTAACACCAAAATAAGCTATGGACTGCAGCTTTAATATAAAGATGTACCAGTAAAACAGTAAAATCGCCTCCTGTCCGAAAAGAAATCAGGCTACAAAAAACAGGGTGTAACAAGTTTAAGTTCTGCTACCACTATAGAGCTGCATGATCAATCGTCAAAAGATTGCAATCTCGATTCAAACACCCAAGCAAGCTATTTCCTAAATGTCTATTAAACCTTCGACAAAATCACACTGGAACATTCAGACCTGTGTTTGCGCTGCCGCCGATCCAGAGAGAGCAGTTGTCACGTATCGGTGGGAAACAGCTTTACAAACATCCCTTTCGCACAGTTTCGGTATTTTTGTTTCAAATATTCACATTATTACAGAAGTACAAGGACAAAAGATTATAGTTATGATCAAAAAAAATGGATGTCGGTAGAGATCAAAAGATTTAATCTTCTTGAGAAAGTAACTTGGCATTTCAATGACATCGTTATACCAGTAGGTGGCGACAAGTGACTGTTAATTTATTTAATGACTCTACATGGAATATGTAATTCATCCAGTAATGAAACACGTGAAGTCTTTATGAGTGAGTCAAGTTTTTGAAATAATTCAGATTAATTAAAGGAGCCGTATGTAAGATTGTGGCCAAAACTGGTACTGCAATCACTTTCAAATTACTGTTGAGTGGTGTATCCCCTCCCCCCTGACTCGAGGTTGCCAGATAGGCTGCAGGATCCAACATTTTTTTTATCCGCCACATTTTTTTATCTGCAGCTGTGGTAACTAGAGCAGATCTGGCAACCCGAATGCCGCTCCGTGATTGGTAGATAGGTGGAGGGTGACGCATCAGAACAAAACACAACATGACAACATCAACATCAGTTGAGGGCTGCAACTTCACTTTTTAAATGACAATATCCTGGTTGGACTACTGTTGTCAGTGATATAAGTATTTGAAATGAACATGATTTCTTAATGTCTAGTTACATATCAGGGCCATTTTCTGATTATTTTAAATAAATTTCTTACATACAGCTCCTTTAAACATTTCAAATAGACTACAGCTAATAACATTTTGACAGAATCTCTATATAGTGCCCTATACAGCATTCACTATAAAAAACTCAAAGAACAGCGCTTGAGAATACATTTAAACTTGACACTGCGTCTTAAAATACAGCTCAAGAATCAGAAAGACGCAACACATTGACCACAAGACATCAGTCTGACTCATACATACAAACACTATTCACAAAAAATAGTGCAGATGAAATATGTGTTATGAATACGAATGGCACTTAACTTAAACAACTTAAACAAAATGGAGTGTTGTGGACTTTGAGCCAGTGTTCACTTACACCCTCAGAAAAAAAGGTACAAAAGCTGTCACTGGGGCTGTACCTTTTCAAAAGGTACACTTTTGTACCCAACGGCTGCATTTTGGTACCTTAGTGGTACATATTAGCTCATGAAATAGACATATTAGCACCTAAAATGTACATATTAGTACCTAAAATGTTCATATTACCACCTAAAATGTACATATTAGGACCTAAAATTAACATATTAGCTACTGAAATGGACATATTAACAATTAAAATGTACATATTAGCACCTAAAATGGACATATTAGCAACTAAAATGTACATATTAACACTTAAAATGTACATATTAGCACCTAAAATGTACATATTAGTACCTAAAGTGTTCATATTACCACCTAAAATGTACATATTAGGACCTAAAATTAACATATTAGCTCCTGAAATGGACATATTAACAATTAAAATGTACATATTAGCACCTAAAATGTACATATTAGTACCTAAAATGGACATATTAGCACCTAAAATGTCCATATTAACACTTAAATGTAAATATTAGCACCGTAACTATTATCTAAAATGTCCATATTAACACCTAAAATACATATTAGCTCATGAAATGGACATATTAGCACCTAAAATGGACACATAGTTTACCTTTTGAAAAAGTACAGCCCCAGTGACAGCTTTTGTACCTTTTTTCTGAGAGTGAAGGATCTTTTCTTAGCAAATATTGATATATGAGTTAATTTTTTTGATTAATTTGATAAATTAACCAGCATTCCATCAATATCATGTAATCGATTGACAACCTTATTATAAAGTCGGATTTAAAAAAGACGAGAAGCCTTGCGTTACTATCTCAACTAGAGATTGTGACCCTTTAATTAAAATCATTAACACAAACACGGGCACAGATGGCCAACAGTTTCATCCAACGTTCACAGCTATAATCTACGCCCACATGCGTGTCTAGATGTGTATCTGAATGTGCCGAGATCCACAACGAACTCACCATTAAACCAAACAAGTCAATACCCGAACCTTTCAACGAATCCTCGACTCTCTAAAGCTAAGATCAGCGATAAGCACATGCTAACGGGATCTAATTCCTCAACTACACTTACACTCCTACTCCTTCTTTACCAACAAGAAAGAAGCCCGGGCTCAGCAGTGTGTAGGTAGCGTACCACGCTTTTGGCCTCACTCCCACCTTAATGACCGCTCAATATTACTATCACCACCCCTCTGCAGTGAAACACAAGGCTCGAGTGAGCTAGCATGAACATACTACTGTTCAATGATCATGAATGGCTTCAAAAATTCGTTTTTCTCCTCTGTGCTCGTTCTATTCACCCTCCTCCGGGCACTTTTTTTTTTTTTACCTGACTACACAAATTGATTCGCAGCGAGGCTTTTCTTTGCACACTAAGGAAATTTACCCACTACTTAGGTTTCCTCATTTCTCCAAAGATAACTTTCAGGAGGCCAAGCGGTGAAGAGAGTCCAATAGCCAGCACTCGCACCTTGCAGATGGGCAGGCTGGGATATTTCCAACCCAACTAACCTGCGTAACCTTTCTTTTTTTTTTTTTTTTTTTTGGTTTGCAATTGCTCTTCAGTTGAAGAGGTTGAGGATATGTGCTGGTGGTGTGCTGTCAGATGCAGTGCTGGTAAACCGTTAACACCTGACACATGTGTATTTGTGTGTGTGGCTGTGAATAGCAGAGCTCAGGACAGTGGCCTGACTCCCAGGGCGAGGGAGCAGATGTCAATGATATCGGCTCTCTCTCTCTCTCTTTCTCTCTTCACAGCATTCACAGGGTGCCTGTGGGATGAAAGATGGACACCTGGGGCTCGGGAAGCCAAGGCTCGCTCTAAATGCAAAGCTTTCAACACGCAGCTTTCTACATTATTAGTCCAGCAACTTATGAATACTAGGAACATATGCTGAGGTTAATTGTGCAACAGAAGAATATATTTGTCTTAACCACACTGGACCCCAATGACTTTCATTATATGAAAAAAAATAAACAATTTTTATATGAAAGAAAGTCATACACAGACTGGAATGGCACGAGGGTGAGCAAATGATGACGGTGTTTTCTCTTCTCTTTTGTGGTGATGACTACCTTCAGAACACAAGGGGGCGATAGAGTTTCCTACAAATGCCTGAGCCAAACCTGCATGCGGACTATACCATGAAGCCGGTGTAGGAGGCAAGTCAGGTGTGTTTCAGTTTAATATTTGTTCCTTCCCTGAGGTTTAGATAGTGGTTTGGCTTTTAGCGGTGTTTAGTGCCGTAGTAACTGTGAGGAAAGCCACAAATCTCTGAATAATTCCACTTCACATATTTCTCTGCTTCCAAATTAAAGGTCACACTACATTTTAACAGATTTTTAGAGACAATATCGTCATTGTTATAATTATTTTATGCAATTTCTATATGTATATAATAGATATTTAATAGTATTTTGGACATTACAACTGAGCAATTTTAGTTTAATTTTGTTTAAATGTATATAAATACTTTCAGATTACATGATATATACATTTTTCTACCATATTAACTAATTTTCACTTGCACTGATATAGCAATATTTTCCTTCTTGCTGAGTAAATAAATTTATATACTCCATATTCTAATTTTGACCATGAAGTCAAAATGGACAATTCTTATTTTTTATGCCTTTTTTATGCTTATGCACATTTGTTATGCCTTTTAAAGGAGTAGTTCACTTTAAAAACAA